ATCAAGGAGAGAAGCAACCTAGAACTAAGGAGAAACTTCCTGACAGTTAGAACAATTAACCAGTGGAACAACCTGCCTCCAGAAGCGGTGAATGCTCCAACACTGGAAGTTTTTAAGAAGAGACTGGACAGCCATTTGTCTAAAATGGTATAGGGTTTCCTGCCTGAGCAGGGGGTTGGACTAGATGACCTCCAAGGTCCCTTCCAACTTTGTTGTTGTTGTTGTTGTTGTTGTTATTATTATTATTATTATTATTATTATTATTATTATTAAGGACTCAGTTAAAGAGCAGCAGCGCAGATGTCTTTTCACCCTGTGGAATGAATGGAAACCTGCCATTTGCATCCCACCATGAGTGACCTTCTCTGATTTTCTTTCCAGCTGCAGGAAGTGAAGCCGATGAGACAGCCTTGAAATCTCCCCCGTCCACTCTCTTGAAAAATTACGTCATTGTTGGCTCCTCCCAACACTCAGGACAAGCTGTTCCTTTCCAGTCCTCAGGACCGAAAGTCTCTGATCCCCACCTCAGAGGGCAGCATTCCACGCCAACTGGATCCCCTCACCTGGCTGCTGTCCACCTACCTTTACCTCCTAGCCGAGTCATCGAGGAACTTCACAGAGCCTTGGCCACGAAACATCGGCAGGACAGGTAAACGCCTGCAATACCCTATGGCAGTGATGGTGAACCTTTTAGAGACCGAGTGCCCAAACTGCAACCCAAAACCCACTTATGCATTGTCGGGTGCCGGGTGGGTGTGGCCCATTGGGTGGGCGTGGCCCATTGGCTGGGTGTGGCCCATTGGGAGGGCGTGGCTGCCGTGGTAACGGCAGACTGGGTGGGACTAAAAAATTCAATCAATCAATTCCAACTTTGCAAGATCTTTTTTTTTCCCCGCGAGAAGTTGAAATTGACTGATTGATTGAACCTTTTTATTTGTACATGGTGGTAGAGGTCTAAAGCGAAAAGGTTTTATAAAACCCAGCTGAAGGCCTAGGACTGGGGCGACAGTATGCGTGCCCACAGAGAGGGCTCTGAGTGCCGCCTCTGGCACCCGTGCCATAGGTTCGCCACCACTGCCCTATGAAGCAAAGCTCCTGTGAAGCATCCATGGCAGTAGACATTCCTTAGCTCAAATTCATTTTTCACATTGGCCCAAATCATTTTTCCTACACTTACCGTTATAATATCCGATACAAACCTAAGAATGACATGATTCATTCTTAGAATGTCTAATCAAAGAGAGCGGCAACCTAAAACTAAGGAGAAATTTCCTGACAGTGAGAACAATTAATCAGTGGAATGGCTTGCCTTCAGAAGCTGTGGGTGCTCCATCACTGGGGGCTTTTAAGAAGAGACTTTTAAGAAGAGCCACTTGTCTGTTACTGTTAGAGCAGAGAGTTTGACTAGAACAGGGCTTTTCAACCTTTTCACCCATTGTACCACTTTTAGGATATGGCAACATCCGAGTACCACCAGTCGCCTAGCAAGGTGTCAAAAACTTGATGACCCCCCCTCCCCCCCAAAAGGAAAAAAGTGATAAAGTACGGGTAGTCCTCGACTTACAACAGTTCGCTTAGTGACTGTTCGAAGTTACAACGGCACTGAAAAAAGTGCCCCCCAGGCCACAGCCGAGCAAGACACCTGCCTGCCCACCCGATGGCGCTCTTCCTCCTGCCCGAAGTTTTCATTGTTGTGAGCATTTTTGTTGAGGATTGGCAGCGGGGGTGGGGTGGGGGGTGTCTGGTTTTTATTCCCCCCCGTCTGCTGGGTGGTTGCAGCAGGTTTTGGTCACTTCACATGACCCTGGGACACTGTGACCGTCATAAATATGAATCAGTTGCCAAGCATCTGAATGTAAATCACAAGACCATGGAGATGCTGCAACATTCCAGCTGATCGACGCTTCTTCTGGGCTCAGCAGAAGCGTCAGGATCAGCGCCAAGCTCCAGCTGGAGCCTGGTGCTGATCCTGGCGCTTCCGCTGAGCCCTGACAGCCCTGCAGCTCCAGCCATCTCTCACTCAGGCTTGTGCGGTGCTGCCACCGGTTCAGCTCATTCCCCTCCCCTGCTACCACTTTTCTAGGATGGTCACGTACCATCTGCCAGGTGTCAATGTACCACAGGTGGTACCCGTACCACTGGTTGAAAAGCCCTGGACTAGAAGACCTCTAAGGTCCCTTCCAATTCTGTTATTCTGTTACAATGAATCAATGGAACAGCTGGCCTCTCAGAATCAAGGGTTCTTTATTGCTGGAAGTTTTCAAGAAAAGATTGGACAGTCATTTGTGCAGGATGATATAAGGCAGTGCCGTTGCCCCAGCCTCGCCTCCCCGCATGACCCTCTCCTCACCAGATGCCCCCCTGGAGGAAAGTCGCCCCTGAGCGTGGCCACACGGAGCAGCGCAGCCAAGGACATGGCAGCCAGGCAGTGTAGACAAGACTCAGTTGATGCTGTGGGGCGCTGGAAGAGGGCGTGGCCGCCATGGCGCTGCTGGGCTGCCTGGGCGATCTGTGGTGGGCCCTGGAGGCAGTGAGTGGCCCTGTGGGAAGGTGGGGTGGGAGCGAAGCAGGGGCGGGGCAGGGGGTGGATCAGGGGCGGGGCCAGTTTTTGGGCACTGGTCTCTAAAAGGTTCGCCATCACTGATATAAGGTCTCCTGCCTTGAGCAGAAAGTTGGACTAGAAGACCCCCAAGGTCCTTCCAGCCCTAGGAGTCTATGTTCTATGATTCAGATGCTTACCAAGTAGCAATTTGATTTCTATAGTAGAAGAGTTGTCAGGCCCAAACTTAGAGAAAACACGGCAAAATTCAGTTGAGTTTGATCCTTTATTTGCTTACACCAAATGGACAGAATCTTGCCAAACTAAAGCTATAATCTTTTACCCTGCTAGACATAGCCTGAGAGATTCGAGGGTGTAGCTACCCTGAACTTATGGAGAGAATATTTATAACTCAGGGTTGAATTGTGAGATCCTTGTTGCCTAGTTGGATAATGAAATGTCTTCAAGAAAACAACCAAGCTCAGAAAGCACTAAGGACCCCACAGTACGCTGAACCTCTTCCCCCTCCGGTATCCAACTCAGGGATACACAGTCTCTTCATCTGGGCTCCTTCCTGGGAAAGCTCTATGTTGCCAAAACTCTGCCTCACTGCTCCTCCAGGTGCACATTCCATCACATGAGTAGGCTAACCCACCTCACCATATTGTAGATGTGTTAATACAGATGTTTTGAAGGAGGTCTGAATACTAGAATCTTGCTGTTCTTTCTCCAATAAGGAAGCCAATCAAACATAGTATAAAAGTGACTTGGACAGAATGATGTAGGCTGTACTGGACAGAAATGCGTTTAATTCAGATTTTTATGCAAATGTGCTGAAGCCTTTGACTCCTTGACCAGAAGCCATTGGTGTGTTTTTACTTTGTATTTTTCAGAAATGTGTGGTGCAGTTCACAGTTGAAATGTCTACATGGCTTTTGTATTTAAAAAAAAAAGGAAAATGTGTACAACAACGTGTGCATTAGATGGAAACATGCAGAAAACTAGATTATACAAGGAAAAGAAAGTATATTAAGAAAAGGGGGCTCCTGAATGCATCTGTTAGGAGAAATGAAATGTTAAGTGAATCATGCAGTCATTAAGCAAATGTGGTTCCCTCATTGGTTTTGTCAGAAGTCAGCAGGGAAGGTCACAAATGTGTGAAAATGTGATCAGGTGTTTGTGTAAGGAGGGTTTTGTGGCTGATGGGGAAACCAGGAAAAGAAATACTTAGAACCTGAACAAAACAAAAACTGAACTACAGCACTAATTAGAGCTATAGAAGTAGGAGTGAGCAAAAATCTCAGACTCAACCCTGGAAAATGCTTAGGTGACTAACCCAAATTTTGTGATAGCGTGCTTCTTTTGCATGGTTTTTTTGTTGTTGTTATTTTCCATAAAGTGATAAATGATCAGAATATGGATGTTTCGTTTTAATTAAGGTTTATATTAGAAACACACATGCTGTTCTCTGAAAAGGTCAGCCTGGCATGCCATGTTAGCATATTTCAAAGCAAAGCATCCATCACTGTCATCTTGTACCTTCATCTTGTGGCAGATATTCAGATCTCAGCTTTCCCATATTGAACGCTGAAATCCCCTGCCACCTACGCCACAGCTCCCTGCACAGTGCTTGGGAGAACATGTTGCAAGCATTGATTCCTGGTCTGAAACCCAATGTTGTTTGCATTTTGTCTCCAGCTTTCATGGGAGAGAAAACAAGGCATCTCCTAAAAAACGAATGGAGATCCGCTTGTCCAGAACATCCAGCACTGAACACAGCAAAGAGAAGGATGGTTCCATGAGCTACAACAGCGATCCAGAAAACAAATGGAATTCTGTTAAGGAGTCGGATGAGAACAAAGAAAATCTGATCATGGATTCTGAAATCAAGGGTGATTCCATTTTCTATGAGGATGAAGAAGTTTTGAATGATTCCATAATTTCTGGTAAGAAAAACCTATTTATGAACCTTATAAAAACTTACCCTGAAAGACAAGGATTGGGTTGGGTTTGTGGGGTTTTCTGAGCTTGGTTGCTTTCCTATAAGCATTTTGTTAACTAGAAATATCTACAGGAAAACAACCTTGCGCAGAGAGCATCAAAAGGTTGACAATTGACCCTGAGCTATACACACAAGGGTCTGTCGTGCATACACCATTCTTAATTGCTGAAGATTGTCCCATGGATGCTGCTGTGTAATCTCGCATCATTGTTCTGCCTCTTTTCTTTGAAGTTTTATTTTGTTGGATTCCATTTCCTATGCATCTCTATTTTCTTGTCTAGTGTGGCTTACCTGGCTCCTTCTCACCTTCATTTCAGACCTTCTTCCTCCTGGATGATAGTTTTGTTCTTTTGATTCTATAAAAACCCACACTGATAGTCCTTCAAGGTTGAAATAGTCTCTTTCTTTTCTGCCCTATAGTAGTTCTGGGTAGGACACATTACTCTTTGTTGATGCCTTACTTCTGTCTTCTTATGCTTTGCTGCCATCCCTTGGAGTTTCCTTTGAACTGCATCTCTGATAAGCAATTTTAAATTCACTACCTGGCTAGTAGACTAATAGTTAAAATGTCTTTTTGTCATCTCTCTTTCAACCTCTCTTTTTAAATAATCTTTCTAGTCATCAGAAAAACCGCTGCAGCAATTCAAAACACCCACATTCAAATGCTCCTACAATTTCATTAAAAGCAATCTACAATTAATTTTGTCTTCTCCCTCTGGTTATTATCCAGATGATTATCATAGGGATTGGTGGAGGTAATGCTTATCCACCAGGAGACTTAACTTCTTATTCTGAAGGATCTGAAGTTTCTTTCTTCAGAAACAAATCCAGCAACCTCAGACAGCATCGTGTTGAATGGTGCTCTTTCAAGGATTAATTTTAAGTTATTTTATTTATTTACCCCCTTTACTAAGAAGAGACTAGACAGTTACTTGTCTGAAATGGTATAGGTCAGTGATGGCGAACCTTTTAGAGACCAAGTGCCCAAAAACCGCCCACGCCCCGCCTGTCCCGCCCACTCCGCCCCTGCCCCCAGCCTGCTCTTCCCCGCCTCTGCCCACCTCCATGACCAGGTGGCCCAGCAGCGCCATGGCGGCCATGCCCTCCGCCCGCATCCTGCAGCATCATCTGTGCACAATAGAGTGCGAGGGCAGAGTCTTGCCCCCGCTGCCCGGCTCCATGTGCTTGGCTGCTCTGCTCTGTGTGGGCCGCATTCAGGGGCGACTCCCCTTGGGGGGGCTGCTGGTGATGAGGGGGTTGTGGGGGAGGCAGGGCTGGGGCGACAGCACGTGTGCCCACAGAGAGGGCTCCGAGTGCCACCTCTGGCACACGTGCCATAGGTTCGCCACCACTGGGATAGGTTCTCCTGCTTGAGCAGTGGGCTGGACTAGAAGACCTGCAAGGTTCCTTCCAGCTCTATTCTAGTCTATTATTTATTTCCCACCTTTATTATTTTGATAGATAACTCATAACTAACTAAATAACTAAATAACTAACATAACTAACCTAATCTTCCTCCTCCTCCTTTCCCCACAAACCAAAATCCAGTTAGATGAGTTGGGCTGAGAGAGATTGACTGGTCCAAAGTCACCCAGCCAGCTTTCATGCCTAAGACAGGCATAGCTATAACTCATAGTCTCTATCTTGTTGTCTTAATCACTACACCATATTGGCTCTCAACATCTCAAAGATGTCTCCTCCAACTCTGTTCTAGTCCTTCTCCTAACTTAGAAGTCCAGTTTTTAACACACTTGAAGAGTATTTATCCATTGTCCTCTTTAAAGGATTCTATTCAGTGTCATCTTGTTTGACCATTTTTTTTTGTTCGTGATACCTTGACTGTCTTCTTCTGATTTCCATTATGCCCTAGATCTCTGATTCTTGCTTAGCCATCTTTCAGTGTTAAATCCAATCATTTTTCTGATGCTCACATGTGAGGAAGCTCCTTTTCTCCCATTGGGATTTCTTCCACAAGGAACTATCAAAACTTAGTTTCCACTTTCTGAGTAAGAGGACAATCACTTTTCTTTTTTAATTCCTTCAACCCTACTTCTCTATCTAGGTCTTTATAATAATAATAATAAAGTTGGAAGAGACCTTGGAGGTCATCTAGTCCAACCCCCTGCTGAGGCAGGAAACCCGATACCATTTCAGACAAATGGCTGTCCAGTCTCTTCTTAAAAACCGTTCCTAATATGTTTTAGCCTTCAGTCCCCTAATCATCTTTGTTGCTCTTCTCTGGACTCTTTCTAGAGTCTCAATATCTTTTTTACATTGTGGTGACCAAAACTGGATGCAGTATTTCAAGTGTGGCCTTACCAAGACATTGTAAAGTGGTATTAACACTTCAAGTGATCTTGATTTTATCCCTCTGTTAATGCAGTCTAGCACTGTGTTGGCTTTTTTGGCAGCTGCAGCACACTGCTGGCTCATATTTAAGGGATTGTCCACTAGGACTCCGAGATCCCTCTCACAGTTACTACTGTTGAGCAAGGTACCACCTATATTGTGCATTTGGTTTTTCTTGCCTAAATGTAGAACCTTACTTTTTTCACCATTGAATTTCATTTTGTTAGATGGTGCCCAATGTTCAAGTCTGTCAAGATCCTTTTGTATCTTAAGCCTGTCTTCTGGAGTGTTGGCTATTCCTGCCAGCTTGGTGTCGTCTGCAAATTTGATGAGTTCCCCATCTATCCCCTCATCCAAATCATTGATGAAGATGTTGAAGAGCTCTGGGCCCAGAACAGAGCCCTGGGGCACCCCACTACACACTTCCCTCCATGTAGATGCAGTTCCATGGAGGACCACACGCTGAGTACAGCCAGTCAGCCAGCTACAAATCCATCTGGTGGTGATGCTGTCCAACCCAAATTTTTGATACTTCATATGGATGCTTCATTCAGTCTTGAAAGGGCAATGACCAAAATTCCTTTCCAAGTTCTCTTCTCTCTTCCCATTTTTTTCACCCATTAATGTTCACTCTGTTTGGACAATTACCTAACAGTACCTGCTGCTTACTCATACTTTTTGTTTTCTTTTGTTTTTCCTTTCTTGGTTGTTTGTTTTTGCTTTCTGGTTCAGTTACATTTGAAGAGAAGATCATGCAGTTTGCAGACAGAGGAGCATATGTAGGCTTCAGCCTAATTTCAAAAATTGCAAAGCAGTGTTGACCTCTGGAAAGAGTAATCAGTACTTGAGAAGGGCAGTACATGAGAAGGACAGACAGAGCTGGAGGGTGGAGTTAAATGTTTATCATCAGTTTAGAGTCCTTCTAAGAGATCCAAATCCATCCCTCTTGAATTGAAAGAGGCCCAAGTGTCGTGGTTCTGACCAACAGAGACGAATAAAGCAGAACTCAGAGACTTGCAAATTCCTCAAAGAGCATGTTTATTAGTTACAAAGTATTGGCACGGTCAAAACTGAAACCAAGTCTGAATTCCCAGTAACAATTCCCTGGTTACAAAGTATAAAGTTCACACTTACTCTTCCAAACTATGCAATTGACTACATTCTCCAATAACTGCATTTGGCGGACTTTCTTATACAACGCCAGTCTCTGATCACGGGAGCAACAGATGACCTTGGTTCCCATGGGACAGCTGATTGCTATGACTAGAGAAGCACCTGGACAATCTGCCTCCCTCCGTTCCAAGGTGGCAACTGCAAATGAGGGGGAAAATGGCTGCAATCAGGTTCATTTGCATAGTTGACACCAGGCTTTCATTGTCAAACCACAGAGGTCACAAAGGAGATAATGATATTTCCCTAGTATCTTGGATTGCAGCTGACATAGTTTGCTGCAATTATATTATTTAATGGTTGCAGGATTTGGGTATGTCTACTCTAGTTAAAAGAAGGACAAGGGGTGACACAACAGCAGTGTTCCAGGATTTGAGAGGTTGCCACAAAGAAGAGGGGTGTGTGTGTCAATCTATTCTCCAAAGCACCAGAAGGCCAGACAAGAAACAATGGATGGAAACTAATCAAGGAGAGAAGCAACCTGGAATTAAGGAGAAACTTCCTAACAGTTAGAATAATCAAACAGTGGAATGGTTGTGGGTGCTCTCCATCATTGGAGGTTTTTAAATGGCGACTGGACATCCACTTGTCCAAAACGGTATAGTGTCTCCTGCTTGAGAAGGGGGTTGGACTAGAAGACCTCCAAGGTCCCTTCTAACTCTGTAATTCTATTAGAGGTAGTCCTCAACTTATTTAATGACTGTTCAAAGTTACAATGGCACTGAAAAATGTGACTTATGATTGTTTTTCATAGTTAAGACCTTTGCAGCATCCCCATGATCATGTGATTAAAATTCGGGTGCTTGGCAGCTGACTCACATTTATGACGGTTGCCATGTCCCGGGGTCATGTGATCAACTTTGCAACTTTCTGACAAGTAAAGTCAGACATTTACTTAACAACTGCATTGCTAACTTAACAACTGCAGTGGTTCGCTTGCCACAACTGTGGCAAGAAAAGTTGTAAAATGGAGCAAAACACACTTAACAAATGCCTCACTTAACAACAGAGATTTGGAGCTCAATTGTCATCATAAGTCGAGGATTACCTGTATTCTGCTGTGTTTTCAATAGGAGGGATATTTTTAATTTTGGGCACTGGGTGGCGCTAGGTGCATTGAACAAGGGCGAGAAAGCTCAGTTGGCCTTTTAAATGAGTGATGTAAAGATGTGGGATTCCCATGAATCCATCTGGAAAGATTTTTTTCCCAGTGTATTTCTTTTTTCAGTGTTTGTGTGTTTGTTTGTATCTCTCTATATCTAAAACAGAATGACTTGGCCCTCTTAATAATAATAATAATAAAGTTGGAAGGGACCTTGGAGGTCTTCTAGTCCAACCCCCCTGCTCAGGCGGGAAACCCTGTACCATTTCAGACAAATGGCTGTCCAGTCTCTTCTTAAAAATTTCCAGTGTTGGAGCATTCACAGATTCTGGAGGCAGGTTGTTCCACTGATTAATATTTCTAACTGTCAGGAAGTTTCTCCTTAGTTCTAGGTTGCTTCTCTCCTTGATTAGTTTCCACCTGTTGCTTCTTGTCCTGCATTCACGTGCTTTGGAGAATAGCTTAATAATAGTAATAATCTGAGATATTGGAAGACTGCTATCATGTCATCCCTCTTGTGTTGTTAATTATCATACCACTAGTATTATTACTATTATAGTGATAGTAACTGGAACTAATACAAAATTCTTGAAGCAAGTCACAAAAATTCTCTTTTACCCCTGGCCCTCCCATCCCAGGCTTATTTCCAATCCCTTTTTTCCCAGAAAATTCATCCATCCTTCTTTCTACAAGTTTCCCTTGAAATGAACTCAATACTCAATGACCTGGTAATAATATGGATATGACCCTATGGGCGTCTGTCCGATCATGGTGAAAAAGTTGTACTTGTTTTGGGAAAAATCTAAGATGGAGCTCACCTTCAACCATCAAAATTTCCTCTTTGACTTCAAACCAGCCATTCTCTTTCTTATCCAAATACTTTTGATAATGCATAATCCTTTTGTTCTGGAAATAAATCATCTTGGCTGGGATGTATCATGAAATGATCCCATAATTTCTCAACAACAGAAATTCACATATCAGAGTGAAGGAAAAATTAGATGAATCATTAAATATACAACCAAAAACCACTTATGGAAATTGCTCTAAGCTCATCCAATGCTTTCATATGTTGTGAAATGTAGGACCTATTCGACGCTAAGGGCGCATGAGGTTGCTGTCAAAAAAAAAGAGCTATTAACCTGGAAAGTTCAGAAGACGGATTTTGAAGATATCACCTGAGTTGAGAGTGATTCAAAGTTAAAAACAAAAAAAAAGTTATTTAGATTTTTATGTAGAAGAATTCTTCCTGAGAAAGTGGAACCTGATTTGAACTATAGTGGGCCAAGTACAGAGATTCACTGAATCATTGAGGCTTCTGATCTGCATTCCTGGCATTAGTACGAGTAGTCCTCGACATACCATCATTCGTTTAACAACATTTGAAATTACAGTGGCAATGAAAAAAAAAAAAGACTTATGACCTGTTGTCATACTTGCAACCATCCCTATATTTTACATCACCACGATGTAAAAAAGATGCTGAGACTCTAGAGAGTACAGAGAAGAGCAACAAAGATGATTAGGGGACTGGAGGCTAAAACATATAAGGAACGGTTGCTGGAATTGGGTATGTCTAGTTTAATGAAGAGAAGGACTAGGGGCGACATGATAGCAGTCTTCCAATATCTACCAGGGTGCCACAAAGAAGAGGGAGTCAAGCTATTCTCCAAAGCACCTGAGGGCAGGACAAGAAGCAATGGATGGAAACTAACCAAGGAGAGAAGCAACCTAGAACTAAGGAGAAACTTCCTGACAGTGAGAACAATTAACCAGTGGAACAACCTGCCTCTAGAAGCAGTGAATGCTCCAACACTGGAAGTTTTTTAGAAGAGACTGGACAGCCATTTGTTTCCTGCCTGAGCAGGGGGTGGACTAGATGACCTCCAAGGTCCCTTCCTACATTATTATTATTATTATTATTATTATTATTATTATTATTATTATTATTATTATTATTATTACTACTACTACTACTACTACTACTACTACTACTACTACTACTACTACTACTACTATTATTAACATAATCAAAATTCAGGCATTGGATTTTGGCAACCAGCACATATTTACAAGACTTGACCACCATTTGTGACCTTCCCAGTTGGCTTCTGACAAATGGAGGAAGTCAAATTTGCTCAACGACCACATGATTCACTTAATAACTCTAGCGACTCACTTAGCAACCATGGCAAAAAAGATTGTAAAACCAGGTGCAACTGAACATCTGCCTTGCTTAGCAATGGAACTTCTGCTCCCACCTCATAAGTTGAGGACTATCTGTATCACCTTTGTGATGAACCCCCAGTTCTTCTTATATAGACCCATTGGCAGAAGATATTTCTAGTATCCACATCTTATATTTGTTATTCACAAGATAACTTTGCTATTTTAGGACTCGTCTCCTTGACGTGCTCCCATTGTCTTTCATTGCACGCTCCAGGTACGTTGCCAAGAAAATGCAAGAAAGAACTTCTGGCAGTGAAACTGCGGAACAGGCCAAGCAAACAGGAGTTGGAAGACAGGAACATTTTCCCAAGAAGGACTGACGAAGAGAGGCAGGAGATCCGGCAACAAATAGAAATGAAGTTATCCAAGTAAGTCTGGTTGCAATAAGGCCACAGGTGGGAAGTGGGGCTGCTGAGAGAATAGATCTGCTGTTTTGATCCTAAACTTTCTCAGCAATTCAGATATTGGGACTCCAGAGAGAGAGGTACAAGGCTGCTCATCATTTGACAGAAGTCTTCAAACTTGGCCACTTTAAGACTTGTGAACTTCAATTCCCAGAATTCCCCAGACAGTACGTCTAGCTGGGGAATTCTGGGAGTTGGTCCACAAATCTTAAAATTGCCAAGTTTGGAGACCTTTGTTTTAGAACAAAGAGATTACTAAATTCTCCACAAATAAAACTGAACATCAGTGAGTTTTCCAGCTTCAGTATCCTGGTGTCCTGTTGTGCGGTAGATTCATCAAGATGGACAGAACTGAACTGTAGTAAAAAAAAAATAAAAACATTAGTAGTAAATGTAGTAAAAATCCAAAAACGTTTTGGATTTCTGAAATTTAAATTTCTTACTGGAAATATGTAAAAGGGTTGACCATGTGAAGTGGAAAATGTGGTTCCCAGCTGTTGCAGACATAAGCAGCCTATCCTTGGGGTTGACCAGTATCTACTGGAAGGTTTGAAGCTTAGATGAATGTTGGCAAAAGGCATTGTGATAAGAAAAATCCATTTGTTTTCCATTGTGATTATAAACACCATTAATTTAATTTCTTTTTGATCCACTTCTTGAACCACACCCACTGGTTTTTATACATCCCTGGATTTAGCAATGAAGTTATGATTTTTAAATAAAAAGTACAAAGGTTGCGTGTATTATAAAATTGTTGCCTGTTTAAAAAAAAATCACAATAAATTTAGGGGATATTTTTTGCAAAAAAAGGAGCTGAAATGCATACAAATGTGCATTTAAGGAAAACTTTTTAACTAAAAATGCTAGACACAAAATGTGCTGAACCTGTACTTGAAAACATTCAGAAACCACAACATGTAAAATAAACACGTTCCATTGGAGATTCTTGAAATGCTGTGGGAAGCATGGTGAGATTGGATCTCCATTAACTGGATCTTCATTAAATTTCATTAAAATGAAACTATAGGAATAACTTCCAGAAATGGAGCTGACCAGGGAAAATCAGCAGTTACAGATCTTCAGCACCATTACTTCAATTGATCACATATAATTCTTTCAGTAACAAAAGTCAACTTTAATTCTAGATTTGTTCGGTGTCCTGGCTTCTGATACTTTAGATGTGCTTCACTGACACAGCATTGTACTGTCATTTCTTGTACAGCACAATAGTTTTGTTTGTAGAAACCTTGGTGCTAAAACAAAATTATGCAATATGAATAACAAAGCTTGGGGAAAACATAGCTTTGGGGCAGACTGAATGAAAATGCATTCATGGGCAAAAGACTTCTTTCAATTTGTTAACTCATTGGACCTGGGGGAGAAGCACACTTAAACCATAGTAACAGGATGAGAGAGGTAAAAAATAAAATCATAGGGCTGGAAGGGACCTTGAAGATCATCTAGTCCAGTGGCCCCCAACCTTTTGGGCATCAGGAACCGATTCCATGGACAGCTGTTTTTCCGTGGACCGGAAGGAGTGTCATTTCACATGCTGCCTGCATCCTGCAGATGGGGCTTCACTTGTTTGCGCAGAATGGTTTCTGGCATACCGCAGCCTGATTCTGGTCCACGGATGGGGAGTTGGGGACCCCGTTCGAGTCCAACCCCCTGCCCAAGGCAGGAGACCTTACACCATCCCAGTCAAATGGATGTCCAATTTTTTCTTGAAAACCTCCAGCGATGGAATGCCATAAAAGATAACAGAGACACTGAGTAGTACATGTGTAGCAATGGATTTAAATGGGCAATAAATAGCCATTGTATTCAATTGCATAATGTTTGGTGTGTTCATCTGTCATTTCTTGTTAGCACAAAATTGCAATTCAAAAAACCGTGCAGAAGCGAATGTAGACATCCATCATTCTCTTTTTTAGCACTTTAAAAGTGAAAATGTGGAAAAGAAAGAAGCAGGCAATTTACACAGTCACAATACACGGTAGTTTGAATGACTGGTGTTATGAAAACAGTCTAATTTATTTTTTCAAGAAATCCCCAAGATACTAAAACAAAATGGACAATATTTGTTTTTAAAGCTATGCCTGCAGGGTGAAGGCCACGAGGATAAAAGGGAAGTGTGTCCTTTCTCTTAAGATGTCTGTATCCCAAACTATGAGGGTCAATTTTAATCTGCTTCCTTCAGGATGAAATCTATTTATTGTCTTAGTATTGGGCTTGTGCAAAGTGCAAGGTACTTTATTCAAAAAGGCAATTGCAGTATTTTTTGAGGAGGAAGAAGAAGTTTTGCTTCTAATCCAAGAAGCCACATCAGTTGTGACTGGATGATGGGGGGATGGAAGGATAGATTCTGACAGTTTAGACTGGATGGTAAAGCATCTTTGAGACAACTATGACCTGGATGACGGACAATCTCCATAGAGAAAATGCAAGGCATCAGCCCTTAGTATAAATGTTCATCCAACTGAGTTTTAAAGAAATCATTTACCACAGACATGTCAAACACAAGGCCCGGGGGTCGGATGCGGCCTGCGAAGTGGTTTCATGTGGCCCATGAGGCTGTCCTGGAAACAGTGAGGGAACGGCCCCCTCTGCTTTGGCCCTGGCCCAGGCCAGCCGGGAGCCAATGTACAATTTTGTGGTGGCCCTCTATGCTGAAGTGCATTCAGTTTTAGCTCCACAAGGCTGTCTGGAAACAGCGAGGAACCGGCCCCTGCCGCATTGGCCCCACCACCTGGGTGCATGCTGGGGAGGTGTCACCCTTTGTGAGGAATGAAGAAATGCACCATCGCCTGGAAGTGGCCAGCAAATGGCCCTCGCCTACTTCACATATCCGGTTTGATGGGCTCTGCCCTGGTCCCACCCCTTTCTGCCAGAGACCCTCAGATCTGTCCCACTCCTGCACAGGCCCCCACAGGCACCCTTGACGCGAATGATGTAGAGCTGGCCACACCCACCCAGTAGGCCACACCCACTCCATCCACACCCACCCAGTAGGCTGCTCACACCCTGGCCACACACACCCGCCCCCCCGAGGGCAACCGCAATGCTGATGCGGCCCTCAATGAAATTGAGTTTGACACCCCTGATTTACCAGATATCTGTCACTGTCTGCTGTGATTACCATGTGCAATAGTATTTAATGCCACTGCACTGAAAATTATTTTAAAATGTAATATGTAAATGTAAAGGGAGTTTATTCTTGTACATTTCAAATTATAAATAATATAAATCCCAACTGCAGCAAAAATTACAACCCCCAATTTTTTTTTAATAATAATAATAATAGTAAAGTTGGAAGGGACCTTGGAGGTCATCTAGTCTAACTCCCTGCTCAGGCAGGAAACCCTATACCATTTTGGACAAATGGCTGTCCAGTCTCTTCTTAAAAACTTCCAGTGTTGGAGCATTCACCGCTTCTGGAGGCAGGTTGTTCCACTGGTTAATTGTTCTAACTGTCAGGAAGTTTCTCCTTAGTTCTAGGTTGCTTCTCTCCTTGGTTAGCTTCCATCCGTTGCTTCTTGTCCTTCCCTTCAACTTTTCACCCTTTTTATATGTCACTTTCTTTAATGTTTCCAAATATCTCATCGCAGTGATGTGGTGTCTCATGTTGGTAATGGAAAACATTTTTCTAGATTTTATGACCCACATTTTGGCTTGAAATCTTAACCGTAATACTCCCATTAGGTTTTTTGGAACCAACCTTTAAGACATGCTAAATGGATACTTTTCTATCAACATAAGTTTAGCACTTATTAATAATATTTTATTTATTTTTTAATCCACGCAGAGCACACTTTAAGCAAATCTGATGCCGTGGAGTGTTTTGTAGGACAATTGTTTTTAATCCTCAATTTCAGTTCACATAGCAGGATCTCTTCCGCTCTGTAGCAATCCTCTTTTGCCATCTGCTTGGCCTCATTCAGGTCCTGTATGGGACATGTCATTTAGAAAGAAAGTGCAGCTGATAATATTAATCCACAAATATTTAGCTGTTTAGTTGGAAAATCTTTGGAGGGAATGCAGCTGTATTTACTGCTATCAGTAGAAAGCAAAGATTTTATCAAAATGAGAAAATATGTGTTGTGAACTTATGCAAGCCCACCTATTAAGTACTTGAAAGCATAATACAAGCATAAAACGGAGAGAATGCATGTCATAATCACAGGTAACCATCCATTTACAACTATTTATTTAGTGACTCTTCAGAGTTATGATAGGGCTGAAAAAGGTGACTTAGAAGCATTGCAGCATCCCCAAAGTAACATGATAGTGTTGTAGATGCTTGGAAAATACTAACTCGTATTTGCGACGGGTGCAGCGTCCTGGGTCATGTGATTCTTATTGTCAAACTTCCCAGCCAGCTTCCAACAAGCAAAATGAATGGGAAAGACAGCAGGGAAGATCACCAATCATGATAACATAATGTGTCACTTAGCAAAAGTCATACAATCGGGTGTGGTTACACGATGCTTCACTTAACAATTGCACTGCTTAATGATAAATTTCCTGGTCCCAGTTATGGTCATAAGTTGAGGACCACCTGCACAAGTTTTGTCATTCACCCTCCCCCACCGCAAAAAAAATACACGTGGATGTATTTAACATGGAGGTGTAATTTGTCTCTACCTTTTTCTGGATGCACCTGTTGAAGAAAGGGAGTTAGCAGCACTCGAAGAAATTAGAGCAATTGCAGACAAAGCATGGATTGTGGGGTCCTTGCTGCTCTCTGAGCTTGGTGGTTTTCTTGTAGACGTTTCACAATCCAACTAGGCAACATCATCAGTTTGATGATATTACCTAGTTGGGTAATGAAACATCTGCAAGAAAACCACCAAGCTCAACAGGATCAAGGATCCCACAGTTCAACCCTGAGCTACAAATATTTTCTTCTATATCATGGATTCTTAGAGGAAAAAAATGTGTGTCAGAACTGAGGAGAGTTGTGT